ATATCTCTCTCTCTCTCTCTCTCTCTCTCTCTCTCTCTCTCTCACACACACACACACACACACACACACACACACACACACACAGAAAGCCAAAAATCTGAGGGAGTACTACCTCTCCCAGGGTGAAGCAGGAGCTCTCCGGGAGGAAGTCTCCCCAGGAGCCTGGCCTCCGCTCAGGCACCCAAGTACCAACAGGCCCCACTTCCTCCCGTTCCCTACGATTGTTGCTGAGGCTCCTGCCTGCCAGGTCACACTCACCCTCTCTGTAGTCCCACACGTTTTGAGACTGTCCTGTCCACCAGGAATACAGTGACCAAATATCAACATCTCCCTGGCCTGAGATGGAGATTGCCCTCTGCTCAGGGGAAGCAGCACAGCAGCGCCTCCTTGAGTGTCCTACGGAGCTCCGGGCTGCGGAAGGCATAGATGAGGGGGTCCACAGCGGAGTTGCAGATGATGAGCACCAGAAAGAGGTTGAAGTTCTGGGAGATGCAGCTGCACGCAGGGTGTTGGGGGCAGAGGATGACAAGGGTGAGGTGCAGGAAGAAGGGGCCCCAGCACAGGAAGAAAATGCCCAGGAGGATGGTCAGGGTGGCAGCACCCTTAAGGCAGAAACCCTGAGGGAACAGGCGCTGCCTCTTGTGGAGCCGGGCAATGCCCCGGGCATGCTGGCAGGCTCGGGTGAGCATGTGCAGGTACAGAACCGCCATGAGAGCCAACATGACCAGGAAGAAGATGACCAGGCACAGCAGCACAGCAGTGTGCTTGTAGTAGGTGATGAGGAGGGTGCTGGAGAGGACGCTGGCCACCCAGATGGCTGCGATGGCCCGCTGGGACCGTGACAGTGTCATGATGCTGTGATAGCGCAGTGTGTAGAAGATGGAGATGTAGCGGTCCACAGCAATGGCGCCCAGAAAGCAGAGGCTGGACACCATAGAGCTGCAGATGAGCACATCAATGACGTTGTCCAGCTGTTGCCCTACAGTGGCCGGGGTCACCAGGGTGCCTGCCTCCAGCAGCAGGATGATAGCTGTCTCTAGCACGATGCTGGAGCTCACCAGCAGGTCAGACAGGGCCAGAGAGCAGATGAAGCAGTACATGGGTGAGTGCAGGTTATGGTTCTTAATGATGGCAACCACCACCAGCACATTCTCCACCAAGCTGACCAGCCCCAAGCCGAGGAAGAGCCCATCAGGGATGGACACGTGCAGACACCCAGGTCCTGTGTCGTTGCTAGGCAGCCTGAGGGGTGGGGTGGCTGAGTGGGTAGCATTGAGGGAGCCCAGCATCCTCCTCAGGGACTCTTGTATGGGCATAGTCCTGTCCCAGGACAGGAAGGGGCCAGCAGAGTCCTAAATTCCAGCAGGCATCACTCCAAGCATCCCACTCAGCTCGTGGAGCTAGCAAGACTTGGTGTCTTGCATGCCTGCCTCCATCCATCCATCTGGGTGCCCCCAGAGTGGCCGTCACTCACCCTCTGCAACTCAGGACAAACGTTGGCCCAGGCATGGCCCAGACAGTCCGACACTCCCTGGCCAGGCCCCTGAGCTTTGCCAAGAGGCCCTCTGCTCACAGATTCTCCCTCGGAGTCTAACACCCAACATGCATGAACCCAGCTTCTGGCCACCCTCCCCGCCTCTTCCTAGGAGGCCCCTTAGGACCAGACATTTCTGAGTGACTCCGTCACCTGCCTTGCTGGGCCAGGGCTGGGCTGAGGGTCTGTGAAGAATGGAGCCTTTCTCTGCATTTTTAAAGTCATGCCTGAGGCCCCTCCTACTGCAGGCAACCACATGATGGGCATGTGTAGGATGTATGCATGGGGGTGGAGGTGCCTCTCACCATCCCAGTGCTCCTGCCTGCTGCAGGAGGCATGGGCAGCACCCTGTGTGGCCCACAGGCTTCTGGGCCCAGGCTGGCATCTCCTCCTCACAGTCAAAGCCTCTGCAGGCTGACCCGACCTTCACAGCACCTGCCCATGACCCCTCACCCTTACCCTTCTCCAGTCAGCCCCTTCTCCCTGGGGTCCTGGGTCCCTTCCCTCCCCACACTGCTCTGATTGGCCTGCCCAGCTCCCAGCACCATCCCACTGGTTGCTCATTTAGGCTCAAGGTTAGCAGGCAGCACCATCCACTTCCAGCCAGGGCACTGGGTATCATGGCAACACAGCTGCTGAACTTGAAGGTGGACTCGGAAGCTAGGCCAAGAAGAATTTTAAAAACAATTGAAATCTAACAGTGGGCACTGGAGACCCAGCCAGGGTCAAAATTGACAGGGCCCCGCCACTTCTTCAGGAGGGATGGGTGGGCTCTGGAGAGGCTGTGACCTGGTGCCGCCCTACAAAGCCCCTCTGCTGCCCACCTCACCGCAGACAAGCAGCAACCCCTTCCCACTGTGCTGGGAAGGGTGCTGCCACTTCCTGGAAGCCGATGACCAGAGGGCATCCTGGTGACATCCAGCAGGACCCTTCAGTCCTATTGTGCTCTTATCACGGGACACTGGGATGCAGCTGCCTGCCCCTCTCCAGCGGTGCCCCCATTTCCTGTGGAGGGAGAACACCCAGGCCCTGGAGCCAGGAATGCAGCAGGCAGACCTCTTGCCGCCATCCCCGCGGTCAGTGGTCAGCAGCTGGGAGAGGCAGCACTAGCACTTTCTCATGGGTGATGTGTCTGTGTTGATGGCGAGTGTCCTCCTGGTGGAGGGTTGGTGCTTCTTACTCACAGGTGGGCAAATCAAAGCAGAGAAAAACATAAGTCAGGCTGGAAGGAGACTTCAGCATTTTCAAAGTATTTGTATATGTGATATTGATGTTAAAATCCATTCTGAGCCAGGCATGGTGCCACATACCTTTAATCCCAGCACTCTGGGAGGCTGAGGCAAGAGGACTGCAAGTTCTAGCACAGCTGGGGCAACTTAGTGATTTACAGACCCTGTCCCAAAATAAAAAATAAAAACAGGGCTGAGGCTATAGCTGTGTGAAGGCTTTGGGTTCAATCCCAGCACCCCCACCCCCACCCAAAGAAATAAAGAACAACAGTTCTCTCACACCCCAACTCAACTGCCTGCTGGTTTCTGGCTCTGTGATGCCCTGACCATCCACACCACGACCACACAACAGCATGTGCAGCAGCCACTAAGAAATACCGATTGTCGCTTGCTTCTGCACTGAGACTTGCAAAGCTTTCGCTATTCTTGCTTCATAAAGCACAGTGAAGTGCAGCATACACCCAAGTGCACAGATGACAGATCTGCAGGTGGACAGAGGCCCGGCCCAACACAGCCTGGAGAACAGCTCCCAGGCCCGGCCCCAGAGTAGCATCCTGACCACAGGCTAAGGCTGCCCTCAGCCTGCCTGCCATGGATGTCACCTGAGTGGAACATTCTGGCTGCACATTCTCCTTATACCGAGCTCATCCCCACTGCTGCAGCTGACTGAAGGCCACCCCCGGTCTGTAGGTGTTCAGTGCTCATGGTATGGACAGACAACATTGGGCTGTGTGTGGCTTCAGGCCATTCTTGCTGGATGGCCTGATGCCCTCCTCTTGTCATATATGCTGCTAGGTGACAGTTGGCTGTAGAACTGTGAGGCATGAAGGTTCTCTTCAGCTTGGCAGACTTGGTCAAACCCTCTTCCACAAGAGGAGCAGCCCTTCCTTGGCCTCATGCAGCTCACTGAGAGGAAGATGGGGGCCAGTGTGGAGGCTGGAGCTGCACGCTCCTCCCCAGTCTACTCCCACAGGGTTACCCTCACCGTGCTCTAGAGAGGAGCTGCCCAGGGGAACGAAGGGCAGGTGTGACAAGGAGGGAGGGCTACACCCGCAGACCACCTGCCTCTGGGCCCGTCACACTGCAGGGATCAGTGCCAGCTCTGTCAAAGAGGCCTTTGAGATGGCTGTGGTCAACTGGCCCCTCCCTAGCCTAGACTTCAAAAGACACAAGCACCGAGGCTTCTGACAGGACAACCACATCCTTCCTCCTGCAACCCAGTTCTTGAACCACAAAGGGGGAGACCCTGCCTCAGACCCAAGTGGCAGTCACATTGGGTGCACTTCTTGGGGGTTCCTGGGAAGAAGCCAAGTACAGAAGGGCTGGGAAGAGTCAATGTTTGGATTTTGTCCTGAGGAAGCAGGGAAGTAGCAAATCAGGCCTGGGATTATGTGATCAGATGGGCTGAAGGGAACTCAAGTTTATCTCATACTGTCCCTGGAGACGAAGGGCACATAGGCTACCACCTGGGGACACAGCACATGCCCCTTCCCTGGACTGTGGCACAACACAGAACTGTAAGGGAGCTATCTTGGTGATTGCAACCTGGACTTGTGACTGCCTTGTGAAGGCCCAGTCTCCTCTCAGGAGGCTGGGGCATTAAGCCTGGGCTGGAGCTCCCTTCCTGGGGGTGGCACACAGGTCTCCGCATGCCCACACCCCTGGCTCGGTGGGAAAGGATGCAGCAGGGCAGCATGGAACCTCTGTTGAGAGTGATGGTGCCAGGAGGAGCCAGGACCTACCAAGGACCTGGGCCTGGCAGGCCAAGCCTTGCAGAGGCTAGGAAAAGAGGGAGGTAACCCGGCTGTCTTCATTCATCAATGTTTGCACAAAACTGCTTTAACCAAATCAGCCCTGATTGAGCACTCGGAATGAGCAGAGTTCCCAGGGCCCAGATGCACCTCTGTATCACTGTCCTGAGAACACTAACTCTTCATTGTAGAGTTCACTGTCTACCGGTTACAAGTGGCAGCTGCAGCTCTGGACATCATATCACCATTGCTTGGGAAGCATCTCTGCTCCACCTCTGAGCCCCTACACCCTCCTGCAGCTCACAAGGCCTTGATACTCAGCAGGGACCCGTTCTGGAGACCCACTGGCAACCCTGCTGTGCTGCCTATCTGGCTCTGGGAGTAGGGGTGACATGGTGTGGCCCATGTTGCCCATGGGGCCTGCTCCAGCAGAGATGGGCACTGGTATGGAACCCGCAGCTGGAAGAAGAGCTCACCTCAGGAGGAAATAACCACTGACATTTATAGGGAAACAGCAGACATGGGGCAACTGTACATTCAGCATCTCTACTTCAGGGAGCTGCTCACCCCCAACGAGAACGAAAATCAGGAACACGATCGCACAGTGTCAGTCCCAGTCACCCTCCCCCTCGGGGTTCTCCTCGAGGGGCACCTCCATGTCATTGAAGTGGAAGTTGGCCATCATGTCACGCACGGCCAGCATGAGCCGGTTCAAGCCCTGGTTGCGGTTCAGACCTCCAGCCACTCCTTCCTCGGGCCTCTCCCCCTGCAGCAGGGAGACAGGTCTGAGCTGGGCTGGGCTCTGGGCCCAGAGCCCCAGCAGGGAGGGAAAGGACACTCGACCCAGCCAGCCTCAGAGGCCCCACTTCCTGCCTCTGGCCAGGATGTGCCTGACATACCTCCATGGCGTAGTTTGGCAATAATGACCGGAAGAAGAGGGCAACCGTGTTTCCGTGGCTGACGGGACTCAGCCTGCAAGATGAAGTCATGTAAATCAGAAAATGAACCTGAAGGGATGTATGGAGTCCTGGCCAGCTCATAGGGCCCTTGTCACTCCTCCCACTGCAGGGACTGGAAGTAACCCCAGGCAGCCACTGAGGCCCTGGAACTCAGTGGTACAGATCAGGGCCTGGGGTGGGGCTGTGGGCATCCCAAGGCACCCAGAGAGGAAAGGAAGGGTGCTATAGAGCCATGGAGAAAGCGGAGGTGACATCAGCCAACTACGGCCTAGGTGCCCAGCTTTAAGAACAGGTCTAGTTTCCATACTTCTTTCTCCCTTAAGAATTGGAGGGAGCTAGGCATGGTGGCACAGGCCTGTAATCTCAGCACCCAGGAGGCTAAGGCAGGAGGACTACTACGAGTTCAAGGCCAGCCTGAACTACATAGTGAGACCCTGTCTCAAAAAACCAAACCAAACAAACAGACAAACAAAAAAAGGGAGCAGCCACATCAAGAGGGCAGCAGACCTGGGGGTTACACAGAGGCCTCCGCTGGGGACACATGCCCCATAGCCCAGCTTTGTCTCTGGGACAGAGCCAGAGCAAGGTGCCTCATGGCCATAAATGTGTTTCTGAGCCCCACTGACATGAACAATTTTCACTCTAATCTATTGAAGAATTCAACAGGGAATGGTTTCCCCATGAACATGAAATCCAAGCTCTATAATAATTCAGAGGGAAGAATATGCCTTGGATCAAGACCTACTGAGGGTGAGGGACCAGGTCAGGAAGCTGCTCAGCTTTGAAGGCCAGAAGGGAGGCAAGAGAGGTTTCTGTGACCCAGATTCCAAAGCTGCCTCTGTGTACAAGGGCAACCTTGGACCTGAGCTCCGAAGGGTCCCACCCTTCATCCTGCTGCGCCAGTCTCCTGGGTCAGTCTCCCATCAGGCCTTACACCATGCTCAGCCCTCATCTGTTACAACATGTTCTTCCTTACCCACCGTGCACTGTTACCCAGCAGACTTACTGCAGGTTTTCTTTTGTTGTTTTGCAGCATTAGGGACTGAACCCAGAGCCTTTGCAAGGAGCTACATCCCAGCCCTTTCTAAATTTTGTTTTTTGCAGTACCAGGGATCAAACTCAGAATCTTGCGCTTGCCAGGCAGGTGTGGCACCACTCCTTTCTAAAATTTTTGATCTTGAGACAAGGTCTTGCTAACTTGCTCAAGCTGAGTTCAGACTTGCAATCCTCCTGCTGCAGCCTCCCAGGGTCTTGGGATGACACCATACACCACCAGGCCTGGCTGTGCAGTTTTGATTCTATGGCAATTTCTAGGTTGTATAATTCACATCTTTTCCCACTTCACAGAGCACCCCATGAGGGCAGAGGAGTTTTTTGTTTTATTTTGTTTTTTTGAAACAGGGTCTTGCTGTATATTCCAGGCTGGTCTGGAACTTGCAGTGATCCTCCTGCCTCAGTATCCCAAGTGCTGGGATTACAGGCGTGCGCCACCACACCCAGCTCAGAGGAGTTTTCTTACTTTGCTTCCCACTCTATTTTTAGCACCAACTACAGAACCCAGCAGAGCAGTGCTGATATCAAATGGGCATGGGCAGGTAGTGCTGTGTCCTCAAATCACTCCCACACCTCCCACAGAGCAGGGCAGTCTCCGGGCAGGCGACGATCTCTTGCCTTCTGGATCTGCACAAACATGGGGCAAAGAGGGGGCAGGTACCTCTCGGGTCTGACGTAGGAGTAGATGGTGTCCAGGGGAGGCAGAGGGTCAAACCCCATCACAGATTGCGTGGTCACCTCCTTGGGAAAGGGACACAAGCAGAGGCTAGAGTGTGGTTGGGAGCCTCTGCCTCCCCCGGGAGCATTGGTTCCCCCTGGATGGGTCTGGGGGATGGCTGGAAGCTGACAGAGACAGCTATGTCTTAGAAGCTGCAGTGGGGAGGGCTCTCAGGTAGCCAGACTTGACCTCCCACTCCGCTTAGCATTCATGCATGGGGAAAAAGGAGCCCATGGCCACCTACTAGGCACCCAATCCCTGGGTGCCCCCTCTGTCCCAAGCCTCAGCCAGTGCTAAGGCAGTTCTTTCATTGACCAGAGCAGCTCGGACTGGCAGTGCCTGTCCTGTGGACCAGGAGAGCTACTCAGGGTATGCCCCGCAGGTGCTCAGGCCCTCAAAAGACCCGGCCATAATGGCTGCTTTGATCTGCATTCCTCTCCTGGGCTTTCAGACCACAGCAGCCAGAGCACCAGGACATGGGTCCAGCTGACAAGGCTGTGCTCCAAGCCTGTGAGTGGCCTCTAGATCCACCAAGAAACCCCCAATACCTGCCCACAGTCCCTCTCAGCCCATCCTTACCGGGGGCAGCACAGCCACAGCCTCCTTGATCTCTGAGAGGATCACATGACGGTGGATGTTCCTGGGTGCACGCTGGTACAGCACCTTCCGCCTGGGGCCAGCGTGAACACAGAGCAACAAATGAGCGGGCACCCCAGCCCCACACCAGACACCAAGGCCCCTGCCTGCACCCTGCAAAGAGCCCAGGACTCTGCCCCCCACCCCTACCCCAGGCAGAGGCTTTATGATGGGTCCCTGGCCTTACAGCAAGAGAAGGCTCTGGACAAAGGCACTGGCTGTGTCACCTGCAATTCAACTCCTCGTCCAGGAAGTGGGACAATAGCTGTGGCTGACGTACAGTTTTATCTGCACAGGGGGCCCAAGGGGCCCATCCTTCCTACTACTGCACAGGGCCTGCTTCCCACTGACATCAATCCGGCAATGCAGTACAAGGAACAAACCACTTTCTGCCGACAAGCAGCATCCAGTCCAGCAGAGACAGCAGGCACTGGGATAGTGCCCATCCAGCAGCAAGCACTAGAGGCACTGCACCTTCCCATCTCTGCAGACGCCCTAGGTCTTATGGCTTCCAGAACAGCATTCCCGGTCCCAGAGCCACAGTGCTGATGCGGGCCACTGGCTAGCCAGGAGGTTAATTCTCCAGTGCCCCCAGCCAAGGGATGAGCCACCCGCCCACAGGTGAAAAAGGAGAAGCCAGCAGATGGCGGTCACCTCTGAGTCCCTGCTCTCTTGCCAGAGTGCGAGGCTGGCAATCACCATGGCAAATGTGGAAATAAAACACAGGCCAGGAGGAAGCTGAAAACATGGTGGCCATGTCCCACTGTGTAATCGGTGTGGATGGCAACAGTTCCCACCCCCAGGGAGGCTTCCGGGAATCATACTGCTGGCTCCCTGACTGTAAGGTTCCGAGGAGAGGGTAGTAGATGCTCTGTCCCCTACACATCTGGCAGGTTACACCATCACTGTCCAGATCAGCTCACCTGCCCTCACAGGCCTCCACAGTGGGGTCCCCTGCATCCACAGTGCGCAGAACCTCTCGGACATTCTCCTCCAGCCAGCTCATGGTGGCGGGTTCCTTCCAGAGAAAGTGTGACCTCCCAAGGTATAGGCTCACCAGCTGGCTCAGGGCGGGCGGCTGGCTGGGGGAGAGTGGGATTGGTAGGCAAGGAGTTGTCCAGGGGAGGGCACTTCCCGGCTACCAACCAAAGGGTACACCAAAATCTCCAGCAGGGTGAGACACACGGGTCTGCTCCTGTGATTCTGTGGTGGTTTTTTTGGTCTTTGTGGTACTAGGATTGAATCTAGGGTCTTTGCACTGAGCTACATCCCCAGCCCTTTTTATTTTTGAGACAGTCTTACTATAGGTTGTTCAGGCTGAGTTCAAACTTATAACCCTCCTGCCTCAGCTTCCCAAAGTGCTAGGATGACAGGCATGTACTACTGCACTCAGCTTCCTCTTAATTTTTTAAATAAATGTGAAGGGCATGAGCTCACCCATCCCTGCCTTCACCCCAGGCAGGCACCCACATGGGACACTGTGTCTACACTCATCAGATGGCATCTCTGCAGACCTCATTCTTTAGGCTAGGCACTCACTTGCTCCACCAGGGCTTTCTCTTGGACTTGAGGGACCCTCCTCAGTGACGAGGGGCTTTCTTCCTCCAGGTCACCATCATGGGGGCAGGGCAGGAGCAACGGCCCCATGATCACCCCAACCCTGCAGTCCTAGGAACACAGCCCCTCCCTGCCTCTGAGGACAAGGATGTGTGAGTAGACATCTGGGTGTCTTCCACACCTTACCTTATCTCAGCATCAGGGCCAAAGAAGCGGTGACCTGAGACGGCAGCATCAGGCCGTACGCTGCAGTACTCCAGCAAGGGCATGAGAACTGCAGAAGAGGCAAAGGCACCATGTGCCCATGACCAGGGTACACTCCCACCAGCCCCAGGAAGACAGGAATACAGCTTGGTGCTGTGAAGTGAAGGCTGGACCTGCACTGTGCACACTGCTACTGAGGGCCAGTTCTGTGGCTGGGCCTCGTCACACCAGGCCAAATGCCTCTGAGACTGGAGTGGGTCTCATCTGCCACTGAGGGGGTAAGCCCACCACCCCAGGGGCTGTGCTGGATCCTCCAGGGACATGGAGACTTGACCCACAACAGACTTGTGGGTGCAGCGGCTGCCTGTGCTGGGAAAGGCTCTGCTGCCAAGCCTGGGGTCAGGTCAGTGACTGACCTGTGAGGGGCTCAGGGTATTAACCCCACTGGATCAGAGCCATGGCCACGGCTCCCTAGACATGCTACATACTGGGAACCTACAATGGAGCTGCTGAGAGAGCCCGCCTTTCCCAATCACTTCCCATGGGAACACAAGGAGGCCCTTTCAGATCTGTGAGGAGGGCCTGTTCTGGGGTTAAGCCTGATGAGGCTCTGCACCACTCTGCCTGGGCTGGAAGTGGCTCCAACCCTGTGAAGTGAGCCTCCCTGGGCCTGGTCAGCAGGATAGTGCTGGTCCCAGGCCTTTCCTATGGAAGGGCACGTACCTGGTGTGCAATCACTGCTGTGCACATACACTCACCCCCACACCCACAAGGGAAGGGCCAATTCTCCCATCTCTGCCCCAGTGTGCATGGAGGCTCACGATGCTGCATGCCCACCTCACCCCCCCATGCCCGCTGGGCACGCGGAAGGCTTGCAGAGGTGAGGCCGGCTCACCAGCTGTAACCATAGCATGTCTGCAGGCTGGTCAGAAAGTGCTGCTTTCTTTAAGTGAAGGAGGCCCTGGGCGTGTTACTACCCGGGCGGGAGCCGCACCCACCTCCAGGGAACATGATGAGTGCCTGCTGGATGAGGGTGGAGGCCTTTTCCCTTGTGGAGCTCAGCTCCTGCTCTGGGAGGTCTGTCTGCTGACTCAGCAAGAAATACGCTAAGGACACTGAGAAGGCAAAATTTGGGAGCTGGGACAGGTTTCGATGTGCCTACAAGGAAAGAATAAACAAAGTTCGGTGTCACAAAAGCATAATACACCAAGTTTGAAGATGGTTGGGTGCTTTGAGATGAGCAGACCAACTGGTCCATGGCCCCCCCAGGAGCGTATCTCTGGGTTTTGCTTTTGTTTTTGTTGGTTTTGTTGAGACAGGGAACTCCTGGGGTTTCTTGCAGCTATGTTTTCCATAAGCTGCAAAATTTCTATAAACTAGATGCCTGCAGGTGGGAATCCTTGGTCAACAGTGCAACATGTTATACAACTTACAATGATTTACCTATTTTCCATTATACATCAAAGGTGTGCTGTGAAAAAAATTCAAGCACAGAAACAGAGAAAGTAAAGACTTTCTCTTCTCCTGCACCCTCCTAGGGCTTGCTAGGGCAATCATAATGGATGCTGAAGGACTGTGCTGGGCACCATATGTCACTTACATTCTGTACCAGCTGCAGAGAGAGAAGAGTGAGAGGAATCTTAGCAAACCGTATCTACTCCATACACTAATGCCAACAGGTGCCCATGGAAGGCTACCAGCCAGTGTACACCCTTCTCTGCTGCTGAGTCTGGAAAGAGATGTGCACCTCGCACTCAGGCACCTGGGCTGGTGTCAGGAGTCCTGGAAGGCACTGTGGCACCAGGTTGTCTGCTCTTGTGCACTTAATATGAATCTGACAAGACATATGAAACGGATTATGAACACAATCTGGATCTGCCTATCCAGATTTGCTTTTTTTGTAGTACTGGGGATGGAATTCATGGCCTTGCACATGGGAGGCAAGCACTCTGCCTAGCATTTCTGCAGAAGAGTTACCCTCACTCAGGACTTGGGCCTAGCGTTGTGTGCTGGGGTCCCTGTGTCTCCCACATGCCTTCTGTCTTATCTCACAGTGCACCTCCCAGTCTTGTGTCAAGGTCTGTGGTCCCCCACCCCCTTGTCACTACTACCAGCATCCCATCTTTCATTGTACACTTCTCTGCAGGACTCTGACATGCAGCAGCTGGACCAACCTCCGCGAAGACTGGACTCTGCTCAGCAGAGGTGGAGAGGGAGCCATTACCAGCTTGTACACTGGGTACAGAAGCACAAAAGGCAAGAGACAGACGTGCCCTCAAGAAACAGAGCACAGGTACAAGATCCCAGTAATGAATGTAACTGTACTGTCTACCTAGAATGTACCAATAAATTCAATTGAATTTTTTATTTATTTATTTTTTTGGTACCAGGGATTGAACTCAAGTCCTTGCACTTGCAAGGCAGGCCACTGAACCACTGAGCTAAATCCCCGGCCCAATTCAATTTAAATTTTTAAAAATTTTTAAAAAAAGAAACAGAGCACAGCTCACACCTACCTCCCACTCCTGGAAGAGGCGGATCAAGTACTCGTAGTTCCGGGCCCTCAAGGAAAGGTGGTCAATAAGCAGCAGCATGCAGAGGGGGTCCTCGTCTGGTTCCAGGCTTTGGGATGCAGCATGGTAAGCAAAACACAAAGGGGAACAGAGGGTGATGTCACGGTCCAAGTGTCCTGGCCAGCGGCTGCTGTAGGCAGGCCCAGTTAGGTGGACAGTCACCTGAGGATGAGCTTGCAGTACTCCAGTGCAGTACGTGGGCAGCCTCGTTTCTCCAGGAAGCTCATCTGCTTATAGAGGGCCAGGTAGAAGCTCCTGGATCCAGGAAAGACCCGTGTGAGTCAGAGCCACAGCAGTGTAGTAACCCATGAGTCCTGTCACTGTCCCTACCCTGTGGGTTCTGTTGGCTTTGCCTGTGCTGCCAGATAGTGAGAGGTGACCCGTCCCTAGGTCTGTAGAGAAGGAGCACATGCCCCTTGATACTCAGAGCTCTAAACGCACTCATACATGAAGAACTAAGCCTATCTAAACCACAGCTTCTTGTTCTTTGTTTACTGTGTATAATTTAGGGGAAGAGAGGTAAAACCTATTACAACTATGACCTTAATTTATTCTCCAATTTTAATAGTTTTCAATGGCACTGTTGGATAAACAAAGCTGTATGACTTTTTCATCCTGGTGATTTTAGAATTTGTTTTAAAGAACTAAGGATTTGCCTGAAAGTGACAAAAGTAATAGAGGAAACCATGAAGAAAATCCAAGCCCAGCACAAGGGACAAGTGATCTCCACAGCTGGACAGTGGTCACAGCCACAAGGTGGACACATTCCAGGGACAGCTAGAGAAGCAGGACACTGATCAAGAGAGGGAGAGGTATCAATGGAAGACAGGACCCCTCAAGGAGTCCAATGAATATGGCAGCTGGCCATGTCTGAACAACAGCTAATGCAACAGGGTGGTCAGGGCAACCGTATGGGGAAGAGGGTTACAGAACCCGTGTGACTGCTCAGGCCAGGCTGAATGTATGCTGGCTCAGGAATCAGGCCCAGGCCTGCAGAACATGCTGAGACACTTAAAGCTGGCTGGGCACACTCTTTCATCCAAACTGGCATGGAAAGATTGTGACCCATACCATCATGAGAAGTGGCTTGTCAAGCTGACTCCTAACTTGTACAGATCAACCGTGAGCCCAGCTTGGGCTGATGGCCTTGTGCCCACCTTCCAGCACTGCAGCTCTGTGGCTGAGGCGCCCAGTGCCCTGGACCTCATGGTGTGGTCTGTCCCTGAGGACTGTGTCCTGCCACCTGCTCCCCACGGGACCTGCAGTGGGAACTTGTGTAAACAGTGGCTACCTCCTGTCACTTTGTTCCCAGGACAAGGCAGATAAGTGCTGCTGTCCCAAGACACCTGCAGAAGCTGCTGTAGGGGGCTGCACTCACCTGTTCTCGGGCCTGCGGTAATCCAGCCGGCAAGTCCCACTGGTGAGGCTGAACAAAGGGTGGAACGCGCACTCCATGCTGTACAGTGCTCTCTCTGTGGGCCACCGAGACACAGAGGAGGGTGTTAGGTCACCGTGTGGTGAATGCAACCCTCTCCTCTGATGACTCAAAACCAGGCAAGGTCTGGAAAGAAGGAAGTCACAGAACTAGGATCGTGAAATGGAGGGCAATGGTCAGGACCTGCCTGGTACCCCGAGGCCACGCTGAATTCACTGTAGCCACAGGACTATGGTGCCTGAGTTGGAAACCCTGTAAACATCCTGCTGAACCAGTGGTCCTGTGTCCTAGTGACCAAGGGTCTGCGCATGTGTCGCACACAACACCTGACCCGCACGTGCACAGCAGCACTACTTACTGGGGTTAGTCACTGGGGTCAGAGTAGACATGGGGCACAGAGAACGTTCTCCTCTTGGTCTCAACAGCCAAAAACAGCTCAAGCGTCTTATGATGGATACACAAAAGGATGGCTGACCCACAGGTGGGACACTATTCACCCAAGAACTGGGGCAAAAGTCTGATACACACTACAATGTGGATAATGAAAACGTTGTGGTAAGCGGAAGAATTCAGACACAAAAGGCTACATGTAGTACATGACTCCATTGACAGGAAATGCCCACAACAGGCAGATCCGTAGAGTCAGAGGAGAGATCAGTAGTTCTGGGCCAGAGCAGGGCAGATAATGGGTCAGGCTTCTTTCATGCTTTAAGATGGACCGTGAGGCCAGGGATGTAGCTCAGTGGCACAGCATCTGCCTGGCAAGTGTGAGGTCCTGAGTTCAATTTCCGGTACAGAAAAAAAAAGATGGACTGTGCTCATGATTACATGACTCTGGCACACTGAAAACCAATGAATTACACGTTAGATTGCTGCACCTCACAGTGCAGGAATTCCATCTCCTCAAAGCCACTCGGTTACAATGTCCTGGCGGGCCCTCTGTGCCCTTCTCCACATCTCTGCCCAGCAACTGTAGTGCCCTGTGGAGGCTCCATTGTACCTGTCAGGTCTCGAGCCATCTCCTGGTCATCCTGAAAACGGCAGGCATCGCTGAGCTGCAGGAGTGAGTCTACATGGTAGGGGCTTGTCTGGAGCAGAACCTGCCAGAAAGGAGGACAGCCCTGAGGAAGCCACAGGCAGGTCACACACAGAGCACCCCACAGGGCACACGGCCCTGAGCACCAGGGAGAAAGTGTCACCAGGATAAAGGTCACATTCCCTTTCTGACTCTGTACCACTGCTACTCAGCCAGACTACGGTTCAAGGTGGGAGCTCAGAACTCCGCCTTCCCAGCTCTTAGCTCCCCATGCCTGAATAAGCAGGAATAGAGCCAAGTGTAGAGGCACAGCCCTGGTATCCTAGCACATTAGAGGTTCAGGCAGGAGGATCAAGTCCTGCCTGGGTAACTAACTTAAAGACTTAGCAAGACCCTGTCTCATGATAAAAATTAAAAAGGACCAGGGGAGGTATCTTAGTTCAAAGGCTTTGGGTTTAATCCCAAAACTACAGGAACATGACTACAAGGTCACTGGGGTCAGAGTAGACATGGGGCACAGAGAATGTTCTCCTTTTGGTCTCAAAGGATGGGGCCAGCTGATCTCTTGGGACCCCGGGGCAGAGGGGATACAGGCCTCGATGACACAGGAAACAGCCAGGCTGCCCCGTAGCCATGAATTTGAGCACTGCTCCAAGCTGGTCAGTGCACAAAGCTGCTGAGGGGCCATGACAGCAGCATGCAGAGGACTCCACATGGCTCCCTCTGGCGCCAGGGTCCATCTGCCCTGCATACAGGCGTCCTTCTGCTGGGGAGCCCCTCCACCCTTGAATACCTCGCAGGGTGCAGGGCAGGACCTATAACAGGGTGGCTGCTCCACCCCTCCCGTCTAAGGGTAGGGATCACGCACCACGATGTTGTTGGGCTCCATTGACTCCACGGCCACCAGGAACTTGTGCTGTGCCTGTTGGTAATCCTCGCTATGCTCAAAGGCAAAGAAGGAGAGACCTTTTTTCGATTCCAGCAGCCGCATCGACAGACCTGGAAGTAAGAGTGCCCAGAAAGGGCGTGCTGGCGGGCCAGGTGGCAGCACCACTGCAGGGCGAAGCTCTCAGGTCCCACACACTCCTACTGTCCTTGGTGAGGACCGTGGCACTAACACAAGTGACCCAGGGCTGGCCTGGCTGTCTTTAGGCTGGTATCTGCTGGATGTTCTGCCAGAATAGCAGGGCCTAATTCTCACCACTGGGCAACACCAGGAGCTGGCCCCGCTATCTGCTTTTCCTTCCTGACTCTGACCCTCACCCCAATCCCTGGATGTGGAAACACCATGTGCAGATCACATTGGTTGGGATAAACATGCAGGGTGGCCATGAGGGATGGGACAGGAGCAGTGCAGTGGGCACAGCACCAGGCCTTGCCTCAGAGGTGATGGACTTAAGACCCATGACCCTCTCTCTGATCTTTCTGGCTGACTTTGTGTGTATAGGTCCCAGTTTCTTCAGGAAAACTTAAAAAGCTGTCAGTGGTTCTTGGAGCCCTGGTCCCCTAAGCCTCTCTGACAGCCCTACTGGGGCTCAGGTCCTGCAGGAACATGTGGTACTATGCTCCTGTGTTCCGAGGCATCTTTGGGAAGATGACTAGAACAGGGCCACTGTGTTCACTGGAAGATTAATCCCTGCTGTGTTCATAGCTGACTGTGCTGCTTGGAGGGGACCTGACTGGAAGAAGAGGGTCCTTCTGCCTGTCTGTCAGTCTACCTGTCTCTCTCTCCCTCCTCCCTCTCTGTGCGGCTCTTCTCTTCTACTCTCTGTTTCCACCACCATGAGATGAACACTTCCCTTCCATCACATCCCTCTACCATGATGGTCCTGCCCTTGCACCAGCCAACCATGCCATGAACCCTCTGAAACTGTGATTCAAAATAAATTCTCTTCAATTTGTGGGAGACAGGTATTTTGTCGCAGCAACAGGAAAGCTGATATCACGTGTGGCCATAAGCCCATTTGCACGGTCCCCAGGTGGTTTTACTAAGAGGACACATGACCCGGTGGGAACAGACACTCATGAGGTGCTAACAAGGCCACATTAAAAGGACAGGCCCTGATGCCAGCATAAGTCCTCTCTAAGCATGTACGGAATCTGCTAGAACCCCACAAGTGCAGAAGCAGGAGAGGTGGGCATGGCTTCTAGTTACTTCTCTGTACCCTCCTGCCTCTTCCTACAGTGGGTCCTTGAATGGCTATGGAGGTCCAGGCCACTCATCCAACCACGTGGAGGGGTTGAATATGCTTCTTCCCCCAATGCTGGCCCTCCAACAAGCATTAACATGGCACCCATGCCACCCTACCCTGGTGCAATAAAACCAAATGACCATGCTTAAATAAACCTCAGTGCTTCTGTGGTATATTACCAAAGGGAGAGGTAGATGGTAGAAAGGGAGAAATAACTCTATTCAAACAGCAGGAGAAACACTAGGCCTCCATGCTGAGACTCTGAGTCTCTTTCCTCAAGCACCAGTATGCTCAAGCCCTTAAAAATGCCACACATTACACACCAGCTTCGCAGAGAGAGGTGAGGCCAGCCCAAGAGATCCAGGTAGTTGGAGACCTCACCTGGTTTGCTGTACCGGGGCCAGGTACTCTTAGGGGTCGTCAGCCACGTACACTTAGGGTACACACGCTGTCTCTGCCGTGGCCTGGGGAGGAAAGGACACAGGTATAGCTGTATGTTCACAGGGACCCAGGGATCCAGGCTTGCTTCCTCCATCTTGAGTGGGATTTCTGGGCAGTTTCAGAAAGGCCTGGCAAAGACATTGGGGGCTCCAGTCAACATCAGACACAGCCTGATGTCTGGGCCGAATGCTTGACTCAGGTATGCTGACTGTGTAGCAATCAGCAGAAGCCTCTTGTGGTCACCTGAACAAAGTGTGTACAAGGCTTGGCTTGGATCACGCAACGAGTTTTTTCTCTGTGGTGATGGGGACTGAATACAGGGCCTTTGCACTGAGTCCTTTTCCTTTTTATTTGGTCCTGGGGATGGAACTCAGGATCTTGTGCTTAGTGAGGCAGGCAGCAGAACCACTGAGCTGAATCCCCTGCTGGCACTGAGTCCCTTTCTAAATTTTTAGAATAGACATGGCTAAATTGAAACAGGCATGGTTCGAACCTGCAGTCCTCCAGCTTCAGCCCACCAAACAACCAGGTTTATAGGCATACGTCACCACAGCACACCTGATGCAGCAAGCTCTTTAATAGTTATCTTTGGGGAGGTAGAGGTGGGGTCAAAGAAGGAAATTCTAAATTACTTCAGTTTTTATTTTTATTTTTTTGGTTTTTTGAGACAGGGTCTTACTATGTAGTTGAGCCTGACCTGGAACTCACTATGTAGCCCAGGCTGGTCTCGGACTCACAGCGATCCTCCTGCCTCAGCCTCCCAAGTGCTGAGATTACAGGCGTGAGCCACCACACCAGGCTTTGAATTTTTAAATAAGAAGCATTTAGCCCTATTAAAAAAAAAAAAAAAAAGAAAAAAAGAAAAAAAGCACAGGCTGGGATTTAGCTCAGTGGTTCTGCCTTGCCTCACTATACTTAAAAAAAACTTACATGTTTCCATGCAGCACAAGTAAAATCAGTAAGTAAAGCAGGAATGACTGCAGCTGCAAGTCTTTTCAACTGTGAGTCTGACAGCAAGCACAAGCAGCCAGAAGTTGCTCCATGGGTTAATGAAGACTAGAATGCTCCTCACACTAGTGCAAGCCTACTTCTTAAAGCTCCACAGATAAATAATTGCAAGGAAGTTGACACAGTTAGACACGGTTATACATCTAGAACCTTAGCTTCCCTTCTGAGTTGGTTAATTAGATGAAGAAATCCACAGGCTGGGATTTAGCTCAGTGGTTCTGCCGCTTGCCTCACAATCGCAAGGACACAAGTTCAACTACCAGTACCAAAAAAAAAAAGCTTTAAAAAGACAAAGCCTCAACCCGGGCATGGTGGCCCATACCTGTGATCCTAGCACTCATGAGACTGAGGCAGGGGGGTCTCTGTCAGCTCGAGGCCAGCCTGGGTGGGCTACATTGTGAGTTCAGGACCAGCCCGAACTACAAAGGGAGACCTTGCCTCAAAAGACCGATCCCCCATAAAAGACAAAGCCTCCTGGACACTTTGATGGATAGTAAGAGATCAGACTACCCACACCTCCTACAAAAAGCTTGGACCTGGACCCCTGCTCTTCCTTCCTGAGGACTCTGGCATCCCCACGCACTGGGGGTGATGAAGTGACACAGAAACTAAACTTAGTATTAGAAATGCTGTTGAATGGGAAGTAAAAATGGATGGGGCTAAGATTTTAGTACTAGAAACTCAAAATTTAATATGCTTTAAGACTTTATCTCTCTTCATTAAGACAGTATGTAATTCACCACGTAGTTGAAGCTGGCCTTGAATTTACTATGTTGCTCAGGCTGGCCTCGAATTTGTGGTAATCCTCCTGTCTCAGCCTTCACCACCATACCCAGCAAGACCTTTCTAAAAATATGATGCCACACTGGAGATGGGAGTGTGAAAGATAGAGCGTGACCACGCTGGGCCTCTCAGCAACCCACACACCATGTCCTTGGACCACTGCAGACTCAATCTTAAGGCTTGCATCTGTCCATTACGGTTTAGATCTTCTGCTTCAGGGGTTCCCAATGACCTTCAAGAGTCTCAACAGGAGCCAGGGATTTAGCTCAGTGGCACAGCACCTGCCTGGCAAGGCCAAAGTCCTGAGTTCGATTCTCGGTGACAGAGAGAGAGAGAGAAAGAGGGAGGGAGGGGGAGAGAGAGAGACAACAGGAATGAAGCATTGAGAACACAGCTTGGCCTGACCTTACCTCTGTTCCCCCAGGACTGCTCGAGCACCAAAATATCTCTTCAGTTCTGTGTCTGGATTCAAGTGTCTAGATAACAGAAAATTTTACAAAGAAAATTTAAATTGGGTTCTACAATGACTTTGGAAATTTTAGATACCTACATAAGAATCCAGCAGGAAAGCTTGCATTTTGGCATGAAAGTCAAGTTCCAGGCCTACTTTCTTTAAAACCAGCAACCCACACTACCACCATGCCCTCAGTACACTGAAAGGGCACAGCTGGTACCTGCACTGGGAAAGCGGCTGAGAGTGGGTTCCCTCATGTGGTAAACCATCTGGGTTTTTTTTTCTTTAGTTGTTTTGAGACAGAGTCTTGCTCTGTAATTCAAGCTGGCCTTAAACTCACTATGTAGCCCGGGCTCAAACCATCTGCTTGTGAGGTTGAGTCAGGGCACCAGGAACTTCCTGAGACTAGACCAGAATCCCAACAGACCCCAGGTGGCTTGCCCCTTCCTTCCTTCTTTCCTCCCTCCTCTCTCTCTCTGTGGTACCAGAGATTGAACTCAGTACCTTGCGCTCGTAAGGCAGGCACAGTGCCACTGAACTAAATTCCTGGCCCCTTTCTTTTCTTTCTTTTTCTTTTTTATTTGGTACTGGGGATCGAACTCAGGACCTTGCACTTTCAAGGCAAACGGCAGAACCAATGAGCTAAATACCCAGGCAGCCTGTCTGTCTTCCTTCCTTCCTTTCTGTCTTTCTTTCTTTCCTTCTTTTTTGCTAAAGCAGACAACAGTCTCTGGTGTAGGGACTAGGTTTCATTAACCATCTACCAGAAAAAGAAATTAATAATCATCTAAGTGTGACAAGGTACTTTTACATAGTTCAAGAAAATTTCCAAGCCAGATACAGTAGTACATACCTGTTGTCCCACTGACTTGAGAGGCTGATGGGGGAAGTTCAAGGTGAACAGGGGCAACTTAGCACAACTGTCTCAAAAGTAAAAAACAAACAGGCTGGACATCGTGACACGTGCCTGTAATCCAAGTACTGAGGCAGGAGGGTCACCACGAGTGAGGCCAGCCCGGACTACATAGCAAGACTGTCTCAAAAAGTAAAAGAGCTGAGTGCTGCCACCTGCCTCACAAGAGCAAGGTTCGGATTTCAATCCCAAAGCAAACACTAACAAGGGCTGAGGATGTAGCTTAGTCCTCTATGGATTCAATCTATGTGCCACAAATAGAGATAGAGAAAGAAAGAGAAACTTTTTAAATATATAAAGTAAAGCTAAAAGTGCTCTGAAATAGGTGAATTTTCCTTTTCTTTTCTCCTCCTTTTTTCTATGTCCTAAAGGTTGAATAATGAACTTACTTTTTTTTTTGAGATGGGGTCTCACTATGTAGTTTAGGCTGGTCTTAAATTTGCCTCAGCCTCCAGTATTCGGGGATTTAAATAAAGACAGTAACCTTTCTTCTTGTCTTCCTCCAGAGGATAGGCAGAGCTGTACCTGTGCTCCACATGTAAGACGTGCTTCCTGGAGCTGGGCGGAGGGGGGCCAGGGTGGCTAAGCCCACTGCTGTCCTTGATCCTCTCCAGAATTCGGTCAATGTCTTCCAACCCATTCTCCTGCAAGCCCAGAACCACCTGTTCATCATCATGCCAACCTGACTTCCAATAACAAAATGACTACTTTGGAAAGTAACTATTATATCTCATTTCCTTCCTAGAAGACTGTAAGTCAAGTGCTGTGAGCTGCACCCAGGCTTGTGGAGAAGAGCAGTCTCCTGAGAGCACTCAGGGGACAGCCATGGAGAGCACTAGCAGAGGATCCCATCCCAGTGCCGGGACACTGTCCTCAAGAGACGGGGCTGGGTCCAGACTCCACCGAACAGAGGCAGCGCTGCAGCTCTTCCCGGGACAGACAGAGGACAAAGGCAGGATGCAGAGTGGGCTTCACAGGGCAACAACCTGTGGCTGGAAGAGGGACCCCCAGATTACTGAGGCCTAGGACTATGGGACCCAGGGGACCCAGGAGCCAACAGCAGGCTCTATACACCAATGGCAAAGTGCACAACAGAGGCAACAACGGTAAGTCCTTCCTTTGCTTTCCCGTGACTCATGGTTAGTTGTCCTCCTAATGGGAAGGTATCCAAGCACCAAACAGAAGCCAGCCTCTCCCAGCAACAGCCGGAATACCACAGCCAGAAAGACAGCGATCACATACCAAGGTCTCTGCTGTGCTGCTTTTCTTGTTTCTTTGCTTCTTTTTCTTCTTTCGGAGTTTGCCACTTACATTAGACTAATAAGAGAAAACATTTTCATCAGTGATGAGGAGCAAAAAAAATTGTTTTTGGTTTTTTTGAGACAGGGTCTCATTGTGTAGTTGAGACTGACCTGGAACTCACTATGTAGTCCAGGCTGGTCTCGAACTCACAGCGATCCTCCTGCCTCAGCCTCCCCAGTGCTGGGATTACAGGCGTGCACCACCACGCCCAGCTTGAGAAGCACAATCTTAAGAACCTGAGAAGTAAAGCAGCAAGCTCATCTCCCCTTACCTGAGCAGGCCCCATCTCCACTACTGATGCAGAAATACCCCACCTGGCAACCGGGTGGCTGGCAGTGGGGCCTCTTCGCCTTCCCCTTCCTCTTCTGCGTGTGCTTTTGGGCTTCCTGTGGCTTCAGGTTCCCTCCAACCATAAGGCAGTTCTCAGGGTTCAAGCCCCACCCCTTCCATCTCACTCTGCCCCCACTCCTGCCCGGCTCCAGCTGCTCGGAAGACTGGGGGCTTCATGGTGCGGGGTGCTGCCTACCGCTAACCCCAGTACCTGCCCCTGTGGCTGCACCTGCCATGACAGCAAAAAGGCTCCTCCAGGAAGCCTCTGTGCCCCCATAGCAGGCAGGGCAGGTCCCCTGATTGTGGCATGCTATGCCACCACTGTCTTATGGATTTTGAAACCTGTCTAATCAAGGGCCACCCCAAGGGAACTTTTGGGTAACCAGGCAATTAACAAAGCCTAACACAGAAAATTACACCTCCAAGAAAACACGGAAAATTATATATCCAGTGGCCCCCATACCTGCTCTGGGAACACTGTCTTGATCATGTCCCCATCTCGCTTGGTCTCTGGGCCTCCACTTGGGGCCCTCGCTTTGTTTCCTGAAGCCACAGTGTGTGCAAGCACACAATCAGACTTTTCCCCATTTACCACAGCGTCGTCCTCAAGGTCCTCGATGTTTATCTGGAAAACAGGTTGGGGGAACAGGGCACTGCTGTGTGTCACAGCTTCAGTGTAGACAGAAATGCTGAGATGCATACAAATGGAGATTCAGCATGAGCCAGGGCCAGCGGTAGAAGGGATGCAGGGTCTGTCAATCATGGTGGCACAGTTCTAAGTTTCAGAAGATGTCCTAGCTCAGAGGGCAGCCCCAGAGGAAACCAGGGCTTCTGTAGCCACATGGCATCTCTGTCTTCAGAGATAGCATCCTGAAGAACTCCCTAAATCAAAATTTATCCCTACTTTCCAACTATCCTCAAAGCAAAAATTTAAACTACTCAGTGACCAATTACTGAAATTCTTCCTTCCTACTACCTACTTAAACTTCACTTCACATACAGTCAGTCACACTAGGATAAGAGCATGGGTGTCCAACCTTCCCGCTTGCCTGGGCCACACTGAGTAGAAACTGTCTTGGGCTGCATATGAAATATATAATACAGCTGGACATCACAGGTCGGAGGCTGGTGCAGGAAGATCGCCAAGTTTGAGCCCAGCCTGGGCAATTTAGCAAGACTCTGTCTCAAATAAAAAATAAAAAATGGGCTGGGGGTGTAGCTCAGTGCCAAGGCCTGGGGTTCAATCCCTAGTACCCTCCCCGCAAAGCACACACAGTGTACATAAGAAATAAAACTTCCACTATTCTTTAGCTTATTAAATTATTTTATGCAATAACATAAACCAAAGTTGAATAATTAAATAAAACTTACACGTTTGCTCACAGGCACACGTGTGTGTAGTTGGCTGAAATACTCTCATTGGACACCATCTGCCTTTTACTCCTCAAAATTTACAAGTGTGTGAAACAACTGACACACAGGGAGCCATCACAGGAGGCAGTTAGCACCACCTGCCCTGGGCCCTCCACACACACAGCATCCCTACACTACTGTTGCCTACCCTGGCCTCACACATACCCTGCTGCAATGGAACTCCTAATAATAATGTCAAAGACTTACTATGCTGTGGGCTGCAGGTTGGCAGCTGGACGAACACCTGAGGGAAGGAAAGGCACCAAGGACCCATCTACTTAAGACTCTTTTTTTTTTTTTTTTTTTTTTTGGTATGAGGGATCAAAGTCAGGACCTTGTGCTTGTGAGGCAGGCGTGGTGCCACTGAGCTACATCCCTGACGCCATTTTTTTCTAATAATAATTGCTTCTCAGCATCTGCAGGGGCTCAGCTTCAGGGCCTGCCTCATGACACCAAAGCCTACAGATGTCCAGACTCATGCTGTAAAATGCCACAGTGTTTTATATATAACCTGCGCAATCCTCCCACATACTGTGTGTGTGTGTGTGTGTGTGTGTGTGTGTGTGTGTGTGTGTGTGTGATGGGTTTTGAGCTCAAGGACTCCCACATGCTAGGTAAGCACTCTACCACTGAGCTACACCCCAACTCTATGTTTATTTCATATTTTTAGTGACTGCTCTACGGTTTACAAGGTTTTATTGTTGTTTTGTTTTTCGTGCTTTGAGACAAGATCTCACTATATGGTCAGGCTATCCTTGAACTTGCTATATAGCCCAGGCTGGCCTCAAATTCAATGATCCTCTTGTGAGGCCTCCAAAGTACTGGGATTAGATGAGCTACCACATCAAGCTAAAAAGCTTCTTTTATTAACACAGTCTACACTCAACCACTTTATTGGTCACATAAAACATAAGAACTGATGACAGTGTATTTCCATTTCTGTTTCTCTCATGACCTCTGTTATAAACCCGACTATTATTTTGTTTGTTTGTGCTTTGAGACGGGGTCTTGATTTGCAGTGCAGGTTGACCTTGAACTCTCAGCAATCTTCCTGTCTCAACTTCCTGCATGCTTGGATCAGAGATCCAAGATGTACGCCACTTCACCCAGCTTCTAATGTACTATATTATTTTTGCTTTAAACGGTACATTATCTTTTAAAGAAATTTTAAAACTAGGAAAAGGGTTCCCCTCCTCTTTTTTTTTTAGTACTAGGATGGAACCCAGGGGCACCCTACCACTAAGCTACATCCCCAGACCTTTTTATTTTTTATTTTGAGGCAGGGTCTTGCTAAATTATACAAGAATGACTCATGCCCTTCTAGGTCTAGCTCAGATTGTATATTAACCTACTCATTCTATTCTGCTATTCCTTCCCATAGATCCATGTTTCTCTCTGGCATTATTTTCCATCAGGCTGAAGAATTTCCTTTTACATGTCTTTCGTGGAAGCCCTGGCAGGGAGGTTTTTTGTTTTTGTTTTTAGGCATGTATCTCTGTGAAAATACTGTTATTCGATGCTCATTATTTGAAAACTATTTTTGTGGGTATAGGTACTGGGCTGAATTTTCCCTCCAGAGCATTGCAGATGTGGTCCCACTATCTCCTCTTCTGGCTTGTATACGGTGAGAAGTCAGGGATTACTTCTGTCAAAGTGTTTTTCTTCTCTGGTTGCTTTTTAAATTTTTATTTATTTATTGAGACAGGTTTTCACCATGTAGTTCAGACTGGCCTTGACTGCCAAGCAGAGAGTGAGGTCGATGGCTCCCTGCCGTTGTTTCTCTGATATCAGGGATCCCAGACAGCAAAGCTTGTTACTTACCAGCTGAAACAATAGCTTCATATATATTGCTCAGTTTTATAGTTGTTCATGACAAGAGGGCTTTCTGGAAGCAGTTATTTTGCCACAATTAGAGATCATCTTTTATTTTTACTCATTCCCTGCTTGACATAAGGTTTGTGTGTAAGTGTGTGTGATAATGGAGATTGAACCCAGGGCCTCCCAATGAGATACACCCCCAGCCCCCCCCCTCCCAAGGGTCTTACTAAATTCCCCAGATTGGCCTCAAACTTGTGACCTTCCTGCCTTAGCATCCCAAATAACTGAGATTACAGGTCTGCAGCACTGTGCTGGCCATGTTGTTTTTAACTCTCCAAGAAAGGAATTTTCAATTTAAGGCAGCACCATCACCAATTAGGGTGCTGTTAAATAAATACTTTTTATAAAGGTACTTTTTGCATTGGAAGAAGAAAGTCATTAGAATTTTCATTGCTAGAGAAAGTGCTTCTGCATGTGAGTCAAGAATGATGAGGGCCAGGGATTTAGCTTAGTGGTGCTGCCGCCTGCCTTGCAAGCGCAAGGAACTGAGTTCAATCTCCAGTACCACCACCACCAAAAAAAAAAAAAAAAAAGCATGATGAGGCCACAGTCAGTATAATGGTAAATGCCTGTAGCCTCAGCTACTCAGGAGGCTGAAGAAGGAGTACAGCAAATTTGAAGGCATCCTAGGCAACTTAGCAAGACCTTGCCTCAAAATAAAAAAAGGAGGGCAGGGGATTTGGCTCAGTAGTTCTGTCACCTGTCTCACCAGCGCAAGGGCCCAAGTTCAATCTCCAGTACCTAAAAAATTTTAAAAAGGAAAAAGGGCTGAGGGGAATATATCCATTGCAAGGCCAGGGTTCAATCGCCAGTACCACAGGAAAGAGGGGAGACAGGAAGACAGGGTGAGTGGGGCAGGGGGAGAGGGGAAGAGCAGGACAGGGAGAGAGGGAGAAAAGGAGGGGGGGAGAGAAAAAATACTAATGGAAAAATTTCAAAGTAGTAAATTCTAATAATTTTTAGACATGTTTATATAGTTTGGGTTTTGGGGGGTTTTGTTTGTTTGTTTGTTTGTTTTTGTTGGGTTTTTTGTTTGTTTGTTTGTTTTTGGTACCAGGGTTCAAACTCAGGACCTTGCACTTGGGAGGCAGGTGCAGTGCCATTGAGCTAAATCCCCAGCCCATGTTATATAGTTTTTAAAGTATTATCAAAGTGGCCTTTGGCCCTTGAAATACTAAGAAATCTTGTTCTCTGGCATCATATTTAATGGCTGCACAGCATAGCCATCCTTGGTATCTGCAGGGCTCTGGTCTCAGGGCCTTCATGTGTGAACATGCACATCTCTTTGTTGAAACTATACAGCACTTACAGAGAACCTATGCACATCCTCGAGTACACATGAAACTCCTCTAGCCCATTTTCCTAACACAGAGAAAATGCCATGTAAATAGTTACTATACACCAGTGTTTACGGGCTAGTCTGTACATACTCAGTATTGATATGGTTTTTTTTCCCTAACACTTTCAATCCGTGGTTGGTGGAATCTGCAGGTGCACAGCACACAGATATGAAGGCCCACAGTCTGATGCTGCATGAATGCTCTGGAAGTCAACCAATCCTTATCATTGAGCATTTTGGTAAGTCTCAAAATTTCATCCCCAACAATAAAATTAAAATCTTTGTAACAAGTTCTTGCATAGAGCTGGGGTGATTTCTTTCCAGTACCTTCCTGAAGAGGAACTCCTAGGTCACTCAGATATTGCAAACTGCCCTCCAAGTGACCTGCCAATTGACACTTCTGTCCACAGGTCTGGGAAAACCTATTTTCTCACAGTTCCTGACCGCAATCAGGAACTAGATGCTCCACGTGGTCCACACCTCTCTGACTGAGACTCGGCTTTTTATCCATGAATATGAATAAAAAACTCTTCTTTTGGGGGGTGCTGGAGAATAAACCCAAACCCTTGCAATACTGTACTAATAAACACCTCTATTATTATTATTATTTCCACATGTGAATTATAAAAAAAATTATAGAATTCCTGAGTTAAGATTAAAAGACTGACAAATTCCTGAATAAAACTTTTTTGGAGGGCCTGGGTCCAGCTTACCAGTAGAGCACTCGCTTATCATGTGCCATGCCCTGTGTTTTGATGCCAGCACTATGAAAAAACAAAACAGGGCTGGGGTTTTAGCTCAGTAGTTCTGCCACCTGCCTCAAAAGTGCAAGGTCCCAAGTTCAATCACCAGTACTGAAAAACAAAACAAAATTTAAAAGAAATTTCAGAAATTAATGAGAAGGCACCATGGTAAGAAACCAGGGACCACTCAGGTCGTCAATGCCACCCACATTCTCCAAACAGCCCTAGTCTACCGCAAGCACGGGTGCAACT